TCAAACTATTTGGTTGTCCCCTAATCGATAAAATTTCAACCAGATCGATCATTTGTGGTAGACGGAAGACAAAGATCCTAACATCGAAGATACGCACGCGCCTCTGTGTATCGAAGAGCACCCGCCAACAAAAACAAGAGAAGTCGGACGTTGAAAAGCTTCTGTTCGACTTACACACCTGCTCTCTGAGAGCATTCATCAGCGACCCGGCAAAAGGGAACTGAGAGGCGGCATCGCAAACTTCCCACGTACAGCTGCAGACATGCGGCCGAGATGCGTGAGTACGAAGAACTTGAGAAGCTGGCCGAAAATTCTATGAAGACTGGAGCAAACTCTTTTTGGACCCAGACTTCTCCAGCCTGCCCGGAGAAGGTGAACCCGAAACTCCAATTGATGAGGATGGAAAAGTTGTGCCATTTCCCGACTATGAAGAAATCCGAATAGCAATCGCCTATTTAAAAAACAACAAAGCGGTGGGAGCTGACGGCCTACAGGCAGAACTATTCAAACATGCCGGTAAATAACTGATGAGGTGCATGCATCAGCCTGTTTGCAAAATATGGTCGGATGAAAGCATGCCCGACGATTGAAACTCAATTGGGCTCTAACCAATACACAAAAAAGGCGATCCCAGAGTTTGCGTCGACTACCGTGGAATAAGAGTTCAAGCGTATTGTGTGTATGACTATCAGTGTGGATTTAGACCTGGTAAGTCAACCATTGACCAAATATTCCCCATGCGCCAAATTTCGCAAAAGACCCATGAAAAGAAGACCGACATACAAAATCTTTTCGTCCATTTTAAAGCAGCTTCGACAGCACGAAAAGGAGCTGCCACTTCGCCGCTATGTCTGAATTTGATATCCCCGCAAAACTTATCCGCTGTGTTAGCTAACTTAAGGACCTCTCCGAGCCGTTCGATACCAAATGAGGATTTAAAAAAGGTGACTCTTTATCGTGTGACTTTCTAAACTTATTGCTCACCATGTCAGTCCTACTATATTGCACAGAAGCGTGGACAGTGTCTTCATCTGATGAGTCGACTCTAGAAGTCTTCGAGAGAAAACTTTTGCAAGCGATTTATGTTCCTTTGCGCATTGACAATGTCGAATACTGTAGAGGATAGAACGATGAGCTGTACGAGCTATACGATTGAAGAGACAGCGGCTACGCTGGCTGGGTCATGCCATCCGAATGGATGAAAGTGCTCCAGCTTTGAAAGTATTCGATGCAGTATGCGTTGGAAGGATCAGGTGGAGAGTTAAAAGTCCTCGCTTGGTATTTCCAACTGGCGCCAGGTAGTGAAAAGATGAAAGGAATGACGCGCTTAGATTGATTGGGCTAGAATCGCGTAAGCGGTGTCAACGCCAATAATGTAGAAGACGCAGTATTTTCTGAAATTACTTGCGATGCCGTACTACTGTTGCTGTTATCATCCTTGAAATTCGCCTTGAATTAGTTTCTGCTGATTTTGCTAACTAATTTCATTACATTGTTTTTGGCGTCTCTTGTTGCCACTTTTACTTTCAGCCATCATTTTCTTGGCTTTCTTATAACAATGCAATAATTTTGGACTATTGAAGTGGAAATCTTATTTTGCCGTTCATTAACCGTCATTCAACTTTTTTTTGTACACATAAGCTACGACAAACGAACAATTCATTCGATTACTAGCCGAAAGGTAAAAAGACTTTCACTTTCAACAGACTGCAAGAAAGGTAGCTTAAATAGAAGCATCGTTGAATATACTCGTGTGTGTGCGTGCATACTTAAAATGCATTTGGCTATGTGAAAGTACGTAGCATATATACGTACGTATGTATATGTTTAGAAACCTTTAACTTTTTATTTATATTTTTTTTTTGCAAAATTCCAAGTGTTGGTCACAACAAACGACGCTTGGAAGCCATAGAAGCGCCAAATACAGGCACACTGTTTGTAAATTTGCACATGTATATATGCGTGTATACTTGAAACTTCAAGTATTTACATTTATCAAATGCATATACCGTTAATATATATAAGTAAACATAACCATGCCTATTTTCTTTATTTAAGCTCGTTTTTCTTTCCTCCACTGTATTTTAATGTCTGTGCCTTTCGGCGTCAAAGACCAAGCAAAAAAAAAAAAAAAATAAGAAGAAAATTCTGCAAAAAATAGCACAAACCAATAAATAGTATTTTTACGCTCGTAAGTGGGTCATTAAAATTTCATTGGAATCGTGCGCGCACACTTTTAAGCACACACTTGCCTATTTATCTGTTTCTTTTTTTTTTTACATATTTGTCCATTTTCATGCACATGTGTGCTGTGTCTTTCGCTTTAACGTATCAGTGTGTTTGCCTTTAGCGTGCGCGCAGCGAAATCGAAATGCACGAGTGCATATTTCAAGGCGCAGAAGACTGCTGTGTTTGTTCAGTGGTTTCTTTTAAAAAATTTTATGCTATTTTTTTCCAAGGATATTCTTGTACATATCAAATGGAGCTATTAAAGTAGCTTAAGTGCCTTGGAAGGATGCAATTTGTAGGCTAAGTGCATTTACTTAGATTTGCTGAACGCAAAAATAAAAAATGAAAATAATAAAATAAATTGGCCTTTGATTGTAATTCTCTTAGTTGATTTTTACATAAATTATTAATATAAATTTAAAAGCAAATTTCTCGTAAAACAATGACTCTTGAAGCGAAAATTTTTTCGTAGATTTAGGTTCTATATCATAAAATAAGACTTGTGTTCCTTATACTATGTTCATTTAAGGTTAAGGTATGGTTACAATTCAGAAGCAAATCATGTTTTCAAATATATTACATAGTAATCAAAAAAAATATAATTAAAATTATAAAAAAAAAGATAAAAACAGAGCAGTCCGAACTGTCACGGCTCACCGTAAAAAAAAAATAATAAAAAAATGAAATAAATTGCCATTGCAAACACTTTTTCTTCTGGGAAGTGGGCCATGGATCGATTTAATGCTTCGGCTTTGCTTAATATGTGGAGTATATATAATAAACAATCGTTTAAAAGCTAAACTGAACTTAATATTATATTAATCTTAACAAATTGTACTATCAGGTATAGAATAAAATAAAATGTATTAACAAGAAAATAAAAACTAAAATGAAATGAAAAACATCTAAGGAAATTAAACTAATGTAAGAAAAAAATTTAAACAGAATATTGTACCTGAACTGGAATAAGAAAAAAGATATATATTTAACATTAAAGAAACAACAAATAATATAACATAAAAAATAAGTTAACATAAATAAGATTAATGTAAATTGCCCTGAAATAACATAAAAAAAATAAAATGCATTAAAATAAAAAAAATAATAAAATAAATGAAACAAAATAAAATATTAATATAAAAAATAATATATAATTCTCTAAAAAAATAATATGAAATAAATTAAAATAAAAGAAACAGAAAAAAATAGAATAAAATAAAAAAATAAAAAAATAGAAAAAAATAAAATAAAATAGAATAAAATAAAATAAAATAATATAAAATAAAATAAAATAAAATAAAATAAAATAAAATAAAATAAAATAAAATAAAATAAAATAAAATAAAATAAAATAAAATAAAATAAAATAAAATAAAATAAAATAAAATAAAATAAAATAAAATAAAATAAAATAAAATAAAATAAAATAAAATAAAATAAAATAAAATAAAATAAAATAAAATAAAATAAAATAAAATAAAATAAAATAAAATAAAATAAAATAAAATAAAATAAAATAAAATAAAATAAAATAAAATAAAATAAAATAAAATAAAATAAAATAAAATAAAATAAAATAAAATAAAATAAAATAAAATAAAATAAAATAAAATAAAATAAAATAAAATAAAATAAAATAAAATAAAATAAAATAAAATAAAATAAAATAAAATAAAATAAAATAAAATAAAATAAAATAAAATAAAATAAAATAAAATAAAATAAAATAAAATAAAATAAAATAAAATAAAATAAAATAAAATAAAATAAAATAAAATAAAATAAAATAAAATAAAATAAAATAAAATAAAATAAAATAAAATAAAATAAAATAAAATAAAATAAAATAAAATAAAATAAAATAAAATAAAATAAAATAAAATAAAATAAAATAAAATAAAATAAAATAAAATAAAATAAAATAAAATAAAATAAAATAAAATAAAATAAAATAAAATAAAATAAAATAAAATAAAATAAAATAAAATAAAATAAAATAAAATAAAATAAAATAAAATAAAATAAAATAAAATAAAATAAAATAAAATAAAATAAAATAAAATAAAATAAAATAAAATAAAATAAAATAAAATAAAATAAAATAAAATAAAATAAAATAAAATAAAATAAAATAAAATAAAATAAAATAAAATAAAATAAAATAAAATAAAATAAAATAAAATAAAATAAAATAAAATAAAATAAAATAAAATAAAATAAAATAAAATAAAATAAAATAAAATAAAATAAAATAAAATAAAATAAAATAAAATAAAATAAAATAAAATAAAATAAAATAAAATAAAATAAAATAAAATAAAATAAAATAAAATAAAATAAAATAAANAAATAAAAAGAAAATAAAATAAAATAAAATAAAAAAAAATAAAAAAAAAATAAAATAAATAAAAGAAATAAAATAAAATTATATAACTTAAGGAGAGACTAAACAAAATAAAAAATAATTAAAAAGGGTTTGAAGAATTTGAAATTTGAAATTTTTAGTTTATAGACTAAGCTTGTAAGGTTTGCAAGGATTTCTGAAAATGAAGGAAATAAATATTGGTATCAAGGTATGTTTTTTCTATTGACGTCAACACTTAGCAAGCAGCTATTGTAAAATGTATAATATTCATGAATATAGTATGGACTCTATGAATGAGTAAAGTAATTTTGATTGGCAAATAAATATTTTCTATAATTTTAATTATTTAATTTAAACTTTTTTTCTTAACTTTTCTCTTTCACTTAAGATAATTTTTATTTTTTACCGCACTATTTTTTCACTGCCGCTTTGTAGTGTACACCTTAAATGCGTATGTTTTATTTCAATGAATATTCGTACATTTTTTCAATAAGAATTCAGATTTTTATTTCGTCATTGACGACAAAGATTTATTTTTAATTAACGAGTACATATATGAACACTAGCTATCTCGCTTTATGGCAGTTGTCGCAATGCGAGTGTTATTTGAGTAGTATATGGATATCTCATCTATGAATGTAAGCACTTAAATATGAGATTTTCAACGATTTTCAGCGATTACGTAACGACGAATGAAAATCGATTTTAAATTCGAACATTTTTTAAGTAAAAATCTATTGAATATTTTCAATCATTATTAATGAGCATAAAATTAGTTATCGCTATACGTAGCACAAAGTTTTATAATAAAAAATCACTATTTGATTTTTTACTTAGTTTTCTATTTTTTTATTATTTAGACTTATCACTTCAAGAACTCTTTTAGCTTGCGAAAACCATTGTGAAATTATGCACTTCGATGTAAATATTTCGTTTGATTATGATTCTTTTCACTTTTTGGCACATAATTTATGGTAAAAATTTCTTCACTACTAATTATTGCAATTAGTGCCACATTTTGCCTCATTGTTTGGCCCTTTGCTTAGAGAAACGTTCTAACACCGTCAGACGACACACCGTAACTGAAAGAGAATTTCAATTTTCTAACAAAAACTCTTTAGTGAAAACATAGAAATTCTTTATTTGGAATTGAAGAATAAGCGCGTATTTAAGCTGGCGCTTGGAAGGCGAATGACACGTAAAAGCATAGCTTGAAAAGTTGATAAATAAAATATATATTGTACATATCTGTCTAGGGTAGCCGGCAAATTCCAAGCGCCAATTTGTCATTTGTTTATTCTACTTTCCATGCAACTGTGGAAGCGGAAATGTTGAGAAACTGTAACGGTAAACAAATATAAATGTATAAGCAAAAGCGGATAATCGTCTAAGCTTCGATAAAAAGAGAGAAAGAAGATGTGGTAACTTTTTTGCCTCTTTAGATCGGCGCTTGAACCCTTATCAATGCTTCATTTGAAAATATAAAATCATGAATATTATTTTTAAGACTCCGAAATCAGTCAACCTCTTTAAACGGGTAATTAACAAAAAAAAGGAAGTTCACAATAGTTAGATCAAAAAAATTATTTAGCATCGAAAGAATTTTCTATTTTATTTTATTTTATTTAATTTTTTTTATTTTTTTTTTATTTTTATGTGAGACTTGCTTTGTTTTCCCATTCAATTCGCATTTTTATAAACTCTAACGAATGTACGTGAGTGTAGTGTTACATATGCGTTCACACACAAACTGTCGTCTAGGTCAATGGACCAAAGCGCGTTGTGTGTGTGCGCTTACTGATTTACTCACATTATGTTGTTGTTGTTGTTGTTGTTGTTGTTGTTGCGTGAAAGCGGCTTATTTACGTTTCGTTAAATCCGAACGTTTAATATTATTTACTTCTAAATAGTTATAACTGTACTTTAGCCATCTATATTGTGAACAATTTCATATAACTTCATAACGGCAAAAGAGGGTGAAGACAAAAAAGAAATATGGACGAAGTCAAGCTTGACTCCCTGTTGAGTTAAGCTTTTCGCAAATAATAACTGAAATTGTTGACCGGAATTAAGCGCATTGACATCTGATGCACTGTGAACTCGCCTTTAGCGTGACGTGATTAGAGAATATGTATATACTCGTACATACATACATAAATGAAAGCATATCTACATTTTAACATTTTAATATACATTTTTGTGGCGAAAAAATTCTCTAAAATTATAATTATATAATTATATGACTCTTTAATCCTTCATCATTATTGTATTTATGTTTGTCGACAAAAAAATTAAAAATTTCAGCAAATTTCATTATCTGCCCTTACTGCCGCTCATTCATCATTAACTAGTTGTAATAGTAGACAAAGCTATTTTTTCTTCGACAATTACAACAATTACAACAATTTTGGCCATTTTGTTTGCCCATTCATTTAATTGTGGCCACTTAGGCATTAATTTCAACTAACCACCGATTTATTTGTGATTAATTACTGACCATTTTGCATGCTCTAAAGAGTTAAATTAAGCGTAAATTTCTGCGAATATTGCGTGCTGAGGCCAGCATAACCGGAATAAAGTTATTGTTTGTGAAATTTCGTGGCGCTAATTAGTATTCTGACCACCAATCGGCCATTTATTAGGAGTTCATTACAATGTTGATTTTTATGTTTTTAAGGTAAACTTCAAAAATGAAGTGAAAAAATGAATGAAATAAATAATTATACTCCAATGCTAGCAAGTAAGTGAAAATTACACTTGAAATACACTTAATCTTAGCTTAAGAGAAAAAAACGTTTTTTAAGGAGTCTCTTAATATGTCATATATAGAAAAATAAAAATTAAAAATACAAACCAATTAATTTGGCTGACGGAAATAATTGTAAGTCCACATATAAAATTATAATGATTATAAAAAAATTCGCATTTAGCTTAATGTATTAATCATCACTGCAAACATTGGAAATCTCGCTGTTTAAACGAAGCCACTCCTGGCTTAGAATTGATAACTTCGCTGACTCGAATTATCGAGTACACCTAGACCTCGCTTTGTGTCGTTTTGTTTTGCGTTTTTTTTTCGAAGTTGCTCAAGTAGAAGTGAAAAAATGAATTTCGAAATAAATAATTATACTCCAATGCTAGCAAGTAAGTGAAAATTACACTTGAAATATACTTAATCCTAGCTTAAGAAAAAAAAAACGGTTTTTAAGTCTCTTAATTTGTCATATATAGAAAAATAAAAATTAAAAATACAAATAAATGAATTTCGCTGATGGACAAGATAAACCTACAATGCAAGAGTTTTGGAAAAAAAAACATAGAAATCATATCCGCTTCATGAGAAGAGGTTAAACCATTTTGGTGCAAAATATGGCCTGAATGTGTTCACCGAAAATGCACTGCAGTATGGTTATACACCAGCTGTGCCTCATGAAATTTCTAATTTAACTCGAAAGTCTAACTTTGAAGGTCTTCTTCATCCAATTCATTGACATAAATGAATTGTGCTAACCTCCCACAAACAAGAATTCTGCAATAAAGAACTATCGCAATTGTACTTTTATTGCCTTGAATTGTTAATGAAGAATATGACTGTAACCTTTTAATAGAAATCTCCAAAGAACTAAATTCAGCCTCCAAAACAAATTTCCAAAGTGATGTGTTTGATTGAAGAAGGCATGGAAAATTTTTTAAAAAAAGCGATGCTGACAGTGGCAGGAGTCTTAAAGTGTCTCAAACGGTAGATATGAATATCAATTGATACAAGGAAATTTATTTTACGTTGAAAAAAAGCTTTTAGCCGAAAGCCGACTTAGGCTATAGACACTAAAGTGAGAGTGATTGATTCTAATGTATTTATTATGCTTTATTTTGTTTTTTATTACTTTATTTTTGTTTTTTTTTTTCATATATTAGGTAAAAGGGTTTTTTATTGATTTTTCAAAATATGTTTTGTTCGTAAGCTTGTTGTCAAGGAGATGCCAACTTCATTATACCCTATCCTAGAAGGCGGCGCCCTTATTGACAAAAAACTCGGAGAGCCAATTTTCACAGGCCTCTCTTGAGACCATTAAGCGCGATCGCCATGGACAGAGAAAGATAGTAATCACTTGGTGTCAGGTCCGGACTATAAGGCGAGTGCATTAGGACCTCCCATCCGAGCTCCTGGAGCTTCTGGCGCATCACTAACGACGTGTGTGGCTTGGCTTGGAGCACAATTCGTCCTCTGTTGATTAAAGATGGCCTCTTTTGGATAAGTGCTGCCTTCAAGCGGTCCAGTTGGCAGTACAGAACCAAATTGCCAATCCCACCAAACACACAGCAAAACTTTCCTGGCCGTCAATCCGGTCTTGGACATCATCTGGGCCGCTTCCTACGACCGTTTGCGATCGATGTTGTTGTAAGTGACTCAGTTTTCATCGCCAGCCACAATCCGCTTCAGGAGCGGTTCGATTTTGTTGAAATTCAGCAGCGATTCGCACATGGAAATTCGGTCCATCATGTTTTTTTGCGTTAGTTCGTGTGGCACTCAAACATCGAGCTTCTTTTTGAATTCAAGATTATGCAAGTGGTTTCAAATGGTTTTCTGGCTCAACTTTAGTTCCTCATCAATTAATTAAGTTCTCACGTCTTTTTCCGCTATTTCCATGATTTTATCGTAATTTTCCACGATAGGACTCCCGACGCGTGGTGCATCTTTGACATCGAAATTATCGGAACGGAACCTAGCAAACCACTTTTGTGCTACATTTTCATTTACAGTATACATGATACGTAATAAAACGAAATTTTATTATTTTTTTTTTTTAATGTTTACTTTATTTAATTTTCTTTTTATAAAATCGTATTTGCATATCTTTGAAACTAATCTTAATTCACTTTGCTTCGTATTTTTTTTAAATGTATCCCCGACGCAAGGAGAGGTCTAGGTGTACTTCATCAGATTGTTATACAATTTAAATGCATACGAAAAAGTGAGAAGGTAAAATGATCGGTGTGGTAGTTTTCAGTCGGTTTCAGTTCCCAGTTTCTAGATCAATAAAGCGTCTTTCAAGCGGAAGTAATAAACCACTTCTTCTATTGGTATGTCGTCCAGGAAATGATTTACTCGAAAAATTGAAAATGACACTTTATTTGCGATAAAATGATCAATGAAAGATCGACGAAAACTCATATGAGTTGAAAAGGCTTCAGTTCAGTTCTCGCAGTCAGAATATGAGTAATAATATGCATCCTGCTTTGGATCTCTGTGAGGGTAAAAATGCTACCAATGGACATGGTTACACCAAACCATCTTATCGGGAACTGTATGAATGACACAAAAAGGGCTTAAAACACACTACTCATGTAAAATGCCTTCTAATTATCAAAGCTCTTGATACCAATACTAAGCATCAGGATGGAAAGCAACCCTATGTGAAGTAATGAAATCCTACGACCCTGGAGAGAATGGCTTAGGGAGCTGAAAGAAGACCCTGTACGACCAAAACGTCGAATTCAATTCCCGCTAATACTTCTGAGCAACAGAGCAAGTGACTTAGATTATCGACATTAAATACACCGTCAGTGTAAAGAGACACCGACGAGAAGATCCAAGAGTTGTGAAAAGTATTAGCCAAGATGTGTCCTTCTATCACAAGCTCGTTCGCCGCGCAATGCTAATAACGGTAGACCCTCTGCAGATAATGTCAACCCCTCCGAATGTATTTTTGACATGACATAAGCGCACCTCATAAAAATCCATAGGCCGTTAAGAGGCGGAGAAGAAATTCAAGGAGAATCTTTGCCGAAAATCACCTTAGCGGTTACAATGCGCTCATTTTATAACACAAAGTTGCATTGTAGAGATCTGATGGCTGTTTGACGGTCAGAATACAGCAATAAATTGGTTAGTGATGGTAAATTTGATTAACCACTTAGATAAGTTGAGTTGAGTTGATGTGGCTACAGGTTGTTACCAGCAGTGCAGTGTCCAATTATTATATCTGTCGTTATGTTAATATAGAACCGGTGTGATTTATTCGCGTTTAACTTCGGCCAAAGGTGTCTGGTCACGTCGAAC